GACTCCCCTACCCACTCGAGTTTGGGGTGGGAATGCGGGACTCTCTCCCCTCCCCCCGTCCAGTGCCGGGACAGACCGGGATCCGGCCCCTGAAGTGGCTCCTGCTCCCTTCCTGTGCAAGACAATGGGGCAGGAAGCAGGTGTTGGGGGCCTGGAACCCACTTGGCCGCGTCTTGAGGATGGACGCGGGGGTGGGGTGGGGGTGGAAGAGTGCCTCCCCCCGTGGCACATGCGCCAGCTCTGTTGGCTCCCAGGGGAGAGGGACCGATAACCCCCCCCACCTTCACCCCGGAGCACCCTGTTCTCTCCGTGCTGGCAATGAGGCGTCGGCGTCAGATAAGACAGGATCCAGAAGTATCAATTTGTCCAAGGTCACGGGGCCAGTCTGTGGGGCGGAGACCCACACCCAGGGCTGGCGACTCTGGGCCCAAGGACACACCCCCCAGACCAGAGCTTCAAGCCTTTTATTCCATGTTGGCAGGTTTGTATAAAAATACTCTCTTCTGGAAAATAAATAGCAGCTGCCCCTCCCTCTGGAGGCCTCGATTCCCTGGGGGCTAAAGGCTTCTCAGAGTGGGGGCTACAGGTGAGCTCGTCATAGAAGCCCGTGGCACACACCTCGTGGGCTGTGCGGGCCGGAGGGGTCGGCCCGTGGCCGTGCGCTGCTGGCAGTGGGGCTGGTGAATTAGTGTTGTAGGCTGGGAGACAGGCTCCCTGGACAGTGTGGGGGGTGGGTGTGGGCTCCACAGGGCCCCTAGGGGGTCATACAAAGTCTCTCTGGGTTTTTCTGACAGATGGGAGATGTTTGGTCTGAGATTTGGTGCAAATGTGCTCGGTTTCACCTGGGGGGATGGAGAAGCGCCGCGAGGGCTGGGCGGTCCAGGCCAGCTGGACCCGGGAACGGGGCGGGGGCTGGCGGGGGAGGAGATGCCTTCTGGGGTGGCGCCTTGCAGGAGGGGGGCTGGGCTGCCTCACAAGGCCAGGAGGGTTGGGGAGCCCAGGGGGTCTGAGGAGGGATCCCCACTGCTGCTGCTGCTTTTGCGATGGGCGGAGGAGCAGGGCTCAGGGGTGCTGGGGTAGGTGAAGACCAGGCTGGGGGTGAAGGGAGTGAGGGAGGGCGTGGTCATGAGCGTGGGGGTGTGCAGTGCCTCGGGCTCCAGCACGGGCCCCGGGGAGAGGGAGATGCAAGGGACTGGGCGGCAGGGGGCGGGCGGGCTGCTGGTGCCGCCGGAGCCGCCTGGGTCGCCGCTGTCCTGGGCTGCTTCTGGGATTTTGCAGATGGGGCGGTGGGCTTCCAGCACCAGCTCCAGGCGCTCTTTCTGCTTCTGCAGCTCCTCAATCTCCCGCTGCAGCGCGGACTTCTCGTCCTCCAGCTTGTCCGTCTCCTGGAGAGGTGGCAAAGGGGAGTCGGGAGGGTGAGGGCGGAAGGCCCCGTGGCCCCCGCCGGGGTGGGGCGTCTCCAGCACGGCTGGACTGCAACTCCCGTGAGCCCCTGGGAAAACATGGGCACAACTCCCATGAGGCCTGGGGTGGCTCAGACAGGCTGCTGGCTGGACTTGGGCTCAGTGCTGCTTCTCCCAGGACTGTCCCGGGAGAGGGACAGCCAGGGTGCCCATGAGGCTCAGGGGGACCCTGGGTGCCCCCACAGGGGTCAGCGCTCACCGCCTGCAGGAAGTCGGTCAGTTCCTTCCTCCTGTTCCTGCACTTGGCCGCAGCCAGCTTGTTCCGCTCCCGCCTCACTCGGCGACGCTCCTCTTCCTCTGGGCTGATCTGGGGGGTCAGGGGGGGAGGCGGCAGTGAGACAGACCCCGGGTCACTGCTGTGACCTTGCCCCCTCCAGGGGTAAGCCCCTGGCCGTGTGGAGCCCCCCCACTCCGGTCTGTGATTTGAAGACCACTGCACCCACACTGGTTCCCCGTACTCGGGTGCTGCGTAGCAATGGCCAATTCCCACCTCTGCCCTAGCTCTAGTGCTCACTCCTGCTCCCACAAACCTCAGCTTCCAGGGCTCAGCTGGGCGCCCCGGGCTACAGGACACCTTCCTGCCCCCATTCCCTGGGGTGGGCTTTTCCCTTTGCAAGGGGCACCCATCCTTCTGGTGTTCAGACTGCCACGTCTGTCCCCCAGGATCTGGAGTGCTGGAGGGGCTGAGCACCCACGGAAGTCGCAGCTTCGGGGGGACCTGACCTCTGTGCAGCTCAGCCCCGCCTTCCAGGTCAGGACTTGAAGCCCGGGGCCGAAGGGGGCGGGGAGACATGACTTGCGTACGGTTCCAGCCACTGGGTGAGAGGCCAGTGAGTGGAGACCACGCCCCCAAGAGGACCCCTCGCAGCACCAACCTGGGAGTACCTAGGACAGGGCTGAAGGAAGCGGCCACGGGAGGGGTCCGCTGGCTGGCTTCAGCCCTTCTGTCTCTGGCCACCTGTTCCTGGCTGGTCTCACACCTTTCTCAGGACCCTGAGCTCCACCCCGGCTGCAGCGCGAGCTTTGCCGGGACAGCCCTCTCTCCACCGTGGTCCCATGTAGCAAACACCCCAGGGAGAGGAAAGAGCCGTCTGTTCAAGCCCCTCCTCCCGTTCCTTTATTTGGGTGCGGACTCGGGGGAGGCGGACAGCTCAGCGGCCTCTACCTGGACCCTTCCCCGAGCGCCCAGGGAGACGTGTGGCCTGGTGGTCACAGCTGGGCAGACCCGGGCCGGTTCTCACTACTGCGTGATCTCGGGCAGGTGCCGGACACCTCCGTGCCTGCACTTCTTGGCTAAGGGATGAGGAGAGGCAGACACGCAGGAGGCAGAGGGTCCGTGTGCGAGTTAAATGAGACGGGAAACATCCAGGGAGGAACTGAAGGGACCCCTCCCACTGCTGCTGCAGCCGCACTGCCTAAGCCCACCCTCTCCGTGCACGGCAGCCCGTGGAGACCCTCTCGCCTTCCCCCCCTCCCCTTTGGCTCCTGCCAGCCCCTGTGCCTGGACTGTCCCTCCCTTCATCTCAGCACGTGCAACCCTGCGCCGCCTCCTCCAGGAAGCTTTCCCTGGTGCAGAGGTGACCTTTTTTGCCCTGCGGGCCTCCCCAGCAGCGCCCATCACCTCCTCCCCGGGCAGTGGCCCTTCCTTCCCCAGTCTGAGCCTGTGCTCTCTGTTGTGGCCAGAGCATGTCTTTGGCACACTGGCATGCCTGGGCACCCAGAACCAGCGCCCCTCACCTGTTCGCTGGGCCGGCGACGTGCTCCTGGAGGCGGCCCCAGAGCCTGGATGACTCCTGGCCTGGGCTGTGGGGGGCTGTACTGGGGGTAGGCCAGAGGCCTGGCGTAACTGCCGGGCCCCAGGAAGTGAGGCTGCACCATCCACTGCACCTCCTGGCTGCCACTCACAGCGTTGATGCTGGGCACGAGGTGGAACTTCTGGGGGAGAAGGAACAGAGGGCCAGGGTGAGGTCTGTGTGGCTCAAGGAGGTCCGAGCAGAGAGACTCTCCCGCCGTCCACCCTCCGTGCAGATGCCAGTTCTGGGAGACCAGAAGGAGCCCGGCTTGGCAGCCAGAGACACTGATGGGTGGCAAATCCCTGCTCACGAGCTGTGTGACTGTGGGCAGGGCACACAACCTCTCTGCTCACTGCCAGACACCTTCCTGGCCACAAACACTGACCCGTGTGCTTGGCACAGCAGGGGCTCCATTTGCAGAAGCTGGGCTCTCGGCCCCTCCTGTACCCATCCCCCCCGGGGGGACAAGGACAGCCCCGGAGCGCCTGCGGGGGGACAAGGACAGCCCCGGAGCGCCTGCGGGGGGACAAGGACAGCCCCGGAGCGCCTGCGGTGGCTGCGAGAATGGGGCGAGGGAACGGGGGAGACACTGCTCAGCTCAGCTCAGCCACTGACAGGGGACTCAGCGAGCTATTTCATCCCAGTGTGCCTCAGTTTGCCATTTTGCTGTTATCACAGAGGAGGATCGCAGCATTTCATTGATGCTAAGAAGTCTAGCAGCTGGCGTTGTGGTTGTGGACATAGTGGGTAAAGTCCCTGCCTGCAGTGCCAGCATCCCATACGGGTGCCAGTTCCAGTCCCGGCTGCTCACCTGGGAAAGCAGTGGAAGATGGCCCAAGTGCCTGGGCCCCTGCACCCATGTGGGAGACCCAAAGGAAGCTCCTGGCTTCAGATCAGCTCAGCTCTGGGTGTTATGGCCATTTGGGGAGTGAACCAGCGGATGGAAGACCTCTTTGCCTCTGCCTCTCTATAACTCTCTTTCAAGTAAATAATTTTCTTAAAAAAAAAAAAAAAAAAAAAAGGAAGTACCAAGCCGGCGCTGTGGCTCACTAGGCTAATCCTCCACCTTGTGGCGCCGGCACACTGGGTTCTAGTCCCGGTCGGGGCGCTGGATTCTGTCCCGGTTGCCCCTCTTCCAGGCCAGCTCTCTGCTGTGGCCAGGGAGTGCAGTGGAGAATGGCCCAAGTACTTGGGCCCTGCACCCCATGGGAGACCAGGATAAGTACCTGGCTCCTGCCATCGGATCAGCGCGGTGCGCCGGCCACAGTGCGCTGGCCGCGGCAGCCATTGGAGGGTGAACCAATGGCAAAGGAAGACCTTTCTTTCTCTCTCTTTCTCACTGTCCACTCTGCCTGTCAAAAAAAAAAAAAAAAGGAAGTACCATCTAATAAGCTCTGAAATCAGACACACCGACTTAAACAACTTAGTGACACCAAATAATTGTGGATCTTTTACTCCACGGGGTCTTAGATTCCACGAAATACGGTAACGGAGGTGCCCAATGCCCAGCGCCCAGCACAAGGCTGGCATGACTGTCAGTGCTTCCAGTGCTAACTGGGACCCTTCTCTTTCTACCAGAAATCTGAGGACTGGGCTGGGATGGGGGCGCCTTGTTCTGGAAAAACTGGGTTCCAGCCCTCCGGACGGGCCCTGGGTGTGGGCGCCTGGTCGGCCGGGAAGCGCCCCGCAAGCCCAGGCAAGTCCTCGCAGTGCGAGCCCAGCGGCCCAGCGACCCCAGTTCCGGGCCCGCGGCACTGCCGGCGGCGTCCCCAGCTCCGGAGTTTGTCCGGGCCCGGGCCACTCGGGGCCAGGAAGGGAGGGGCGCCGCGGGTGACTCAGCCGCCGTGACTCGGCCGCCGTGACTCGGCGGAACGGACGCCGCGCCTTCCCTCCCCTGGCGACACGTGCTCGCCGCCCCTCGACAGGAAATGGGCACCTGCAGCTCCCCAAGTGCCCCCAGCCTGCAGTGGGCGCCGTTCGGTGCCGAGGGCAGGGGCGCGCGAGCTGTCCCTGGCGTCCGCCCCGGCACCTGGCCCAGTCTCTGTCTGAGTCCTTCCGCCACGGGGTGGACAGCCGGCCACCGGGAGCCCAGAGGGTCCCACCGCCCCGGAGCCCGGCTGCACCGCGCAGAGGAGGGGGCTGGAACCTGACGTCGCGGTAGACGGGGGCGGACACACAGGAGGTCACCGACAGATCCCGCCTTCCTGCTGCGTCCAGGGGTTCCCGACGTATCCCAGGCGCGGGATGCCAAGGGGGAGACGTCTGCTGACCGCCCGGGGCTGGGACATAGCCCGGACGTCATACGTCCCTTCCGAGGCGGGCGGGACGCACAAATGAGCAGTGGACCGCAGGTAAGAAAGAAGGTTCCCGGGAGGGAAGAGCCGGCGGCAGGGAACGAGGGGGCGGGCGCGCGTCCCTCTGGGTTCTGGGGGCAGCTGGCCCCCGGACTGCGGAGAATGGGCAGAACCCGCGGTCCCGGCCCCAGGCTTCGCCGCTTCCACAGCGGGGCGCGCGGGGACTGCCTCCGGGGTCCCAGGCGCCGTCCCCCCGCCCTGTCCCCAGGGACCCCGGTGTGCCTCCCTCTCACCTGCGGGGCCGCCGCCTGCGCCGCGGCGGGGGGCTGCGGGGGGCCTCCGTACGCGCCGCCGGCCCCGGAGCTCGGTCCGGGTTCCCCGAAGTCTCGGTACATGCCCTGGGCTGGCGGCTGCTCCGCGCGGTCCGCGTCGGAGGCTTGCGTTCTGACTCACGCGCACCTCGCGGAGTCTTCGTTTTATGAATGAAAAGTTGTGGGGCTGAGCCGCCGGGACCGCGGGGGGCGGGGCGTGCGCGGCGGCGCGGGTCCCCGCGGGGCTCCACCTCTCCGGACGCGCCGCCCCGTGCCTGGGCGCCCTGGGCGCCTCGACACCGCCCACCGTTCCGGGGGGAAGGGGCCGCCGAGGCGTCCCCCGGGCAGCCGCCGCGCCGGGGCCGCCCCTCTGACGTAGCTGCCCATACATGGTGCGGTTTCCTCGCCGCGCCCAGGTGCGGCCGAGGATTCCCCCGCGGACTTACGCACCTGCCGGGAGCCTGCGAACCCGCTCGACCTGGGCCGGCCTCGGCGAAATAGAACGAAGCCGACGCGTAGCAACCTTGCCACGCCGGGGAGGCTGGGATGAAGAACGTGGACCCGCTGGAAGCCGCCAAATGGATGAGAAAAAAAAAGAAAAAGAAAAAAAAACCACACGTGGTACCTAATTCTGGCTCTCACGATTTGCTGGAGGCCACGTGATGCTCCTCTGCCGCTGCTGTCCCTAGGCTCCAGGGGGTAAATGACAGGCCCCGCCGAAGTGGTGGGGTATCTTAACTCCCCCCCCCCCCGCAAAGCAGCTAGCGCTGTGACCGGTCCACAGACAAAATGTATTATTTGGGGCGACCGCAGGAGCGACCACAAGTGTGGATCCAGAGCCCCCGCAGGCAGTGGGCGTCTCTCGCGGGACGCAGGTGTCTTGCGGGCAGCACCCGCTGCGGGCTGGGCGGGGGAGCCAGCCTTGCGTGGAGCGCTATGCAAGATCTGCCATGCTAGCGTCGGGCGTGCTTGGAAGAGAGGGTCAGCCATCACGCCCGGTGTTCCGAGGGGGAAGCCGGGACCGAGAACCGCCCACGGAGGTCACTGAGTGGCCATCGCCGTTAGCCCAGCTCGGCCAGGATTTTCCAAGGCTTCGCAGAGGCAGAATGTCAGTGCCAGGAGGAGCATCCCGACACACATTCCTGGCGTGCTCCCATTGTAGAGATGGGAAGACTGAGGCCGAGAGGGAGAGCGAGCGAGCGAGAGAGAGAGAGTGTGAGCAAGCGAGCGCGCTCGGGGCTGTCAGTGCCACGGAACTGGAGCCGGAGGACTGGGCTCTCCGGCTGTGCCCCCCGCTCATCAGCGGGCAGCTCTGCTTCTGTTCCCAGGCCTGCCTTGGGAACAGCGGCTGGGGGTCTACCGGGGCTCTCAAGGGCTCAGAACCAGGAGACCACCCTGGCCGGAGCGACCATTTTCTGTCTGGGATCCAGGAGCTGGCTCCACCGCCCCTCCCTCGCCCTGGTGCTACTCAACTCCTGGCTGCCCCTAAAAAGAAAAAGAAGCCACAGCCCCTTCCCAGAATGAGAAGTGCAGGTGTGTGTGTAGGGGGGCGGGGCGCAGGGTCTCACGGGGTCCCTGGGTTCTCCCCCTGGGTCACTCACAGGGAAACAGCGTGACTGCGTCTCAGGGCTGTTGGAGGTACAGGCTTAGCACCGCGCAGGGCGGGCGTTTGACAAACAGCAACAATGAAACGCGCGCGCCGCAGGTGACTGAAAAGCCCCAGGGCTGGGAGCCTTGGCACTCTGGTCACACACACACATACACACACACACGTGCGCCTGCACACACACACCGAGTGTGGACGGGTCAGGGGTGACAGCTGGCCGAGCAGGGGCTCAGGTCTCCGTGTGTGTGTGAGTGTGTGTACGTGACAAGTCTGGAAGTCCCTTCCTGCTCCAACGGTCGGTGGAGCCACAGGAGGGCCTGTGCGAGGAGGCGGCACATTCCAGGCCCCTCAGTCACCCCGCCCCGCTCTGGCCACAGAGACGTGCCCGCGCCCTGAGTTCACCAGCTCCTGCCCAGGGGAGCCAGGAGAGGGGGTGGGGGCACTGGGAGGCTGGGAGGAGGGGTGCACGGGGAGGCCCGAGAGGCCCCGCCGCTGTCTCTGGGCTGCCCCGCGGGCCTGGCTCCGTCCCTCTGTCTGTGGGAGCCCCGAGAATCCCCACCTCTTGGGGCTGCAGCGAGGTGAGGGGAGGCGACAGGGCGGGCGAGGCTGGGGCAGCCAGCAGGATCCGTGCCGCGGGGGGCGTGGCAGGCGATGTTTATGTTTTCCAATTCCCGTTCTCTTTTTAAATTGAAGTTTACTTTCTTAATGGAGGTCAAGTTCACATAACATACAATTAACCGCACTGCAGCGGCCATCAGGTTGTGCAACCACCACCTCTCTCTTGTTTCAAAACTTTATCGCTGCAGAAAAACACCCCGTACCTATTAAGTAATCGCTCCAATTTTCCCCGGCTCCCGTTCCCGGAGAACCGGGAACCTGGATCTGACGAGCCTGAGCAGCTCCTGTCAACAGAGCTGCACTCGGCGACATTTGGGGTCCAGCTCCTTCCAGCTAGCGAGCTGTCCTCAGGGCTCGCGAGTTGCCGCGTGGGGTCAGTGCTCGGCCCCCCGATGGCTGAGGGATGCTCCCCGCCACGTCTGTCACACGGTTCACTTACGCGGCTGGACCTTGGGTCTCCTTGTGGGTGGTGGTGACCGTTGGTACTGCATGGCCCCAGAGGCAAGCTGTCTGTGGCTCTGTGTTCAATTCTCTTGGGTGTGAACTTGCCGGCTCACATGGGGACCTTCGGCCAGGCTGTTGGAGAAAGCTCCCCACCGATGTACGTTTCCACCAGCAGCGGGTGAAGGTGTGAATTTGCCCAAACCTTTGCTCACCCTTATTATTTATTCCCCACGTGCTTCTTGGTCTCAAAGGATACAGTGTCTGTTTTGGACGGAGGTGTTCTCACGTCCTTTCCCATTTGTGATTGGATTTGTGTGTGTGTGTGTGTTGAGGTTGTATCAGCTGTTTATGTATTCTGGATAATAAAGCCTTAACAGGTATCTGAGTGGCAAATGTCCCCCCCGCTCCCCCCCCCCCCCACCGTCAGTAGGCAGTCTTCACATTTGTGACAATGGCCTTCAGGGCAGGAAAGCTGAATGTTGGGGCTGGTGTGCAGTTCCGTGGGCTACACCTCCACTCGAGACACCAGATCTCATATCAGAGCACCGGTTCGGGTCCCGGCTGCTCCACTTCTGGTCCAGCTCCCTGCGAAAGCGCCCAGGAAGGCAGCAGAAGACGGCTCGAGTACTTGGGCCCTGCACCCACGTGGGAGACCCAGACGGAGTTCTAGCTTCTGGCTTTGCCTGGCCCAGAACTGGCTGCTGTGACCATCTGGGGAGAGAACCAGTGGATGAAAGATCTCTCTCTCTCTCTCTGTTTCTTTTTCTCTCTTTGTCACTCTGCCTTTCAAATAAATAAATATTTTCACAAAAGAAAGTGCAAAGCTTAATTTTTATGAGCACATTATGTGTTTTTCTTATTATGTGACATTCTTATTTCTTGAACTAATACATAACTGTACATGTCTGTGGGGTACAATGTGGTATTTCAGTACCCACACATGGCGTGTACTGACCAAATCAGGAATCAGCATTTTCCTCTACACATCATTTCTTTCTAAAAAGATTTTATTTATTTATTTGAGAGGCAGAGTTACGGAGAGAGAGAGAGAGAGAGAGAGAGAGAGAGAGAGAGAGAGAGAGAGAGAGAAGTCGTCCATCTGTTGGTTCACTCCCCAGTTGGCCACAATGGCCAGAGTTGTGCCAATCCGGAGCCAGGGGCTTCTTCCAGGTCTCCCACGGGTGCAGGGGCCCAAGGACTTGGGCCATCGTCTACTGCTTTCCCAGGCCACAGCAGAGAGCTGGATTGGAAGAGGAGCAGCGGGGACTGGAACCGCACACGCAGACGGAGGTTTAACCTTGTGCGCCGCAGAGCCGGGCCCAGATCACGAAGGCGGACCCTGTGCTTTCCTGTTTCCGGTGTCAGCTCCTAAGCTTTGGTCGCGGATGAACCGGGAGTGTGACATACGGTGACGCGCACCCAGCCACATGCTCAGCTCAGCGGCCTTTTCGGTACCTGTCAACTCACCCAGCCCCCACCACTGGCACCAAGACAGGGGGCTCCCGGGGCTGTGAGGGCTCCTTGTGCCGCCCCCGCTGTCTCCCCCACCCACAGCTCACCGCTAGCATCACAGCTTAGTCTTGCCTCTTCAATTTCATATAAATGGAACCTTCTGATTTAGTACTCTTTGGGGTCTGGCTTCTTCTTTTTAATGAATTGATTCATTTGAAAAAGGAGAGAGAGAGGGAGAGAGAGAGAGGATCTTCCATCTGCTGATTCTGTCCCCAACAGTTGTAGTGCAAGCCAAGTCTCTCATCTGGGTGACAGAGACCCAGGAACTTGGACCTGCTGCCTCCCTGGGGTCACAGCAGTAGGAAGCTGGAATCGGAGCAGAGCCGAGACCCAGCCCCAGGCGCTCCAGCGTGGGATGCGGACGTCTCGAGTGGTGTTTCAGCCGCTACCCCAGAGCCATTTACTTACCCCAGCAACACCCCTGTGAGATAGATATTATAATATTGTGCCCATTTTCAGGACTGGCACGTGGCGTAGTGGGTAAAGCCACAGCTTGCAGTGGCGGCATCCCGTATGGGTGCCAGTTCAAATCCTGGCTGCTCCACTTCTGATCCAGCTCTCTGGTACGGCCTGGGGAAGCAGTAGAAGATGGCCCAAGTCTTTGGGCCCCTGCGCTAGTGTGGGAGACACAGAGGAAGCTCCAGAATCCTGGCTTCGGATTGGCACAGCTCCAGCTGTTGCGGCCATTTGGGGAGTAAACCAGCGGATGGAAGACCTGTCCTTCTCTCTCTCTCTCTCTCTGCCTCTCCTCTCTCTCTGTAACTCTGATTTTCAAATAAATGAATAAATCCTTTAAAAAATATTGTACCCATTTTATAGACGAGTAGCTGCATGCACGGGGGAATCAAGCCGCCTCTCAAAGCCCCACAGCTGAGGAACAGAGCGCCCCGAATCCTTCACGTAGTCGTCCAGGTCTTCCCAAACCCGGTGGACCTTGGGTGGCCCTCCAGCCGCACCCTCGCTCTCTCTGCCCCAGCCTGGCTGGCTGTTGCAGGCAGTGCTCCTGCCTAGGCGTGCCCCCCTCCCCGCCAGCCCCCAGTGACCACAGCCAGGTAATCCCTCGTGCGGGAAATCCAGCCGGGTAATCCCTGGGGCTATGCAGGAGACTACCTCTTCTCCCTGCTCAGAAAAATTGTTAAAGATTGTACATTTTGGAGATAGAAGAGGAGTCTTTCAAAAAAAAAAAAAAAAAAAAAGGTCATGAGAGATTGACCAAAAAGGTAAATTTACCTTTGGTGCAAAACAAACGTTGAGGGGCCGGCGCCGTGGCTCACTCGGTTAATCCTCTGCTTGTGGCGCCAGCACACCGGGTTCTAGTCCCGGTTGCCCCTCTTCCAGGCCAGCTCTCTGCTGTGGCCCGGGAGTGCAGTGGAGGATGGCCCAAGTGCTTGGGCCCTGCACCCCATGGGAGACCAGGAGAAGCACCTGCTCCTGGTTTCAGATCAGCGCACTGTGCCGGCCATAGCGGCCA